GGCAGTCAAAGGCTAAGTGTTACTGGAAAAGAGCCTCCACCCACGAGCAGCAGGACATATGTATCCACGTTGAGAATAGAAGGTCCTGAAGGGCTAATTGCTCTAAAATATCATCACCACAAGACAGAAAATCATTCTGTACAATGGTACGCAGTAAAACAACCGTACCACTGCAAGAACTGAGAGTAGCATCCTTGTGAACAATGACTGGAGTGTTATCAATGGGAGTAAGATGGGAAAGATCATGAGCGTGTTCTGCATTCTGAACTGTAACGATGCATGCACTGCTTCGAAGAGCATGAAAGGATATATTTTGACCAACATGTCATAAAAGAGCTTTACCATACTATGGTCAGAAAGATAATCAGTTGGAGATGTCGGCTGTAGGGAAAAGAATTTAGTCCACTGTATACCTGTAAACATGGTGCATAAAGGAAGTGGGCGTCATGTAGATCGTTTTTGGATGGAATGAGCAGACATCGATGAACCGTTGTCAGCAAATGGTCTGGAATGTTTACACATAGTACAGCGGGTAGCCCGACCTGAGGTAGATGGGCGATCTGAAAAAAACATCGCACCATATTCGGGGAAGCCAAATGCATACTTAAAGGTGTGCAAGAGGCAGAGGCACTAGCAGAAAATAACAGAGCCTCAGCACCTGGAGCAGGTGATGAAGCATCACCAGCAGAAGGTACAGGGGTATGGGAAAAGTCTGGAGAATGGTCCAATGACGAAGCCAGGTTGGAACAGGATGTGGGAACAGTAAGGGGCCTGGGAGAAGGAGGGTTATCATGGAACGAAGACTCCATGACAGTGATACTTCTTCGTTATTATTATTTTAAAGAAAAAAAGAAGGAAGGAAAGAAAAAAAGGAGGGACAGTGGAGGGACAGTGGAGGGACAGTCACTAGAAGGCATGAAAGGGCCACAAGTCCCTCCTCTCATCCGAGAGGACCTTGAGCCCACAAGCAGTGCAGATGCAGCGTGGAACACATGCCATACCCTACCCTTCACGCCAGCAAACCAGCGCTCCTGGATGGCAATCTCACATCTACTGAGCCACCTCAGCGGACAAAAGAGAGGGTGGTTGGAAACCCGCCACAAAGCATATCCCCTATGGCTGCCACCTCCCAGAGCCAACAGGATTCCTGTTGAGATACACCCAGCACCTGCAGGACACCCCGCTCACTTCTTGGAAATCCAGGAAGGGAGTAGGGCGCCTCCATATAATCCAGATTCCAAGGCAAACTACACCACACCTGAGGAATCTCACACTTCCTGGCACACTTTCCCCCTCCTAGAAACAGTAATGCCAGAGCAGATAACCCCAGAGGCTACAAACGGGACAAGAAAAAGGGAGGGTTGGGGGAGGAAAGGGAAAAAAGGGGGGATGGGGAGAATGGGATAGAGAAGGGAGGATTGGGGGTAATTAGGATCGGTATGAGGAAGGAGACCAACGGGTTTAATACCTTAGACCAAGAGCCTCTACGCCATGTAAAGGAGTTCCCCTTGAAAAGGGGTGTTGGTGATAATGGTAGTGGTACTGATTGTCTTGATGAAGGTGGTGATAGTGATGATGATTATGGTGATGCTGGTGGTATTAGTGATGTTGATGGTGGTGGTAGAGCTGAGGTGATGGGGTGATGATAGTGGGGGGTGATATGGTGGGGACAGTGATGGTTGGGGTGATGATGATGGTAGTGGTGATGGTGGTGGTGATGGTAGTGGTGGTGGTAGTGTTTTGTGATGATAGTGGTGTTGGTGGTAGTTGTGGTGGTGGTGTTGGTGGTTGTGATAGTTGTGGTGGGGGTAGTTGTGATGGTGGTAGTGGTAGTGGTGGTGGGGTAGTTGTGTATGGTGGTAGTGGTGGTGGGGTAGTAGTGATGGCGGTAGTGGTAGGTGTGGTGGAGGTAGCTGTGATGGTGGTAGTGGTAGTGGTGGTGGGGGTAGCTGTGATGGTGATAGTGGTAGTGGTGGTGGGGGGAGTTGTGATGGTGGTAAGTGGTGGTGGGGGTAGTTGTGTGGGGGGTAGTGGTAGTGTTGGTGGGGGTAGCTGTGATGGTGGGAGTGGTAGTGGGGGTGGGGGTAGTTGTGATGGTGGTAGTGGGTGGTGGGGGGAGTTGGATGGCGGTAGTGGTAGTGTTGGGGGGGTAGCTGTGATGGTGGTAGTGGTAGTGGCGGTGGGGTAGTTGTGTTTGGGGGTAGTGGTGGTGGAGGCAGTTTCGATGGTGTAGTGGTAGTGTTGGTGGGGGTAGCTGTGATGGTGGTAGTGGGAGTGGCGGTGGGGTAGTTGTGATGGTGGTAGTGGTAGTGTTGGTTGGGGTAGCGTGATGGTGGTAGGTAGTGGTGGTGGGGTAGTTTTTGATGGTGGTAGTGGTAGTGTTGGTTGGGGTAGCTGTGATGGTGGTAGTGGTAGTGGTGGTTGGGATAGTTGTGATGGTGGTGGTGGTGGTAGTGTTGGTGGGGGTAGCTGTGATGGTGGTAGTGGTGGTGGGGGTAGCTGTGATGGGGTAGTGTTAGTGGTGGTGGGGGTAGCTGTGATGGTGGTAGTGGTAGTGGTGATGGGGGTAGCTGTGATGGTGGTAGTGTTTTGTTGGTGGGGGTAGCTGTGATGGTGGTAGTGGAGTGTTGGTGGGGGTAGCTGTGATGGTGGTAAGTGGTAGTGTTGGTGGGGGGAGCTGTGATGGTGGTAGTGGTAGTGTTGGTGGGGTAGCTGTGATGGTGGTAGTGGTAGTGTTGGTGGGGGGTAGCTGTGATGGTGGTAGTGGTAGTGGTAGTGGTGGTGGGGGTAGCTGTGATGGTGGTAGTGGTAGTGTTGGTGGGGGTAGCTGTGATGGTGGTAGTGGTAGTGTTGGTGGGGGTAGCTGTGATGGTGGTAGTGGTAGTGGTGGTGGGGGTAGTGATGATGGTGATTACCTGTTGTGGGTTTCGGGGGTCACCGCCTCTGAAGGTGGATCACAGAGCACCCCATCAGGATGCTGGCCTGACTGACCAGGCTGTTGGTGCCAGCCACAAGCAGATTAATGTATGCACCACATCCTGGCTGTTCAGTAAACAACTTTAGAAACATTTATTAATTAAATTCCCTCTTAAAGTAAGTGGGTTGTTGGTACATTAATTCCTCTTATGTATGAAGGGAAGGTATTCAAGACCCTTGCTTTCCTTACACTTAATTAGTTTTATCTTAGTGTACTTGTCAATAGTATATATACCTAACCATACCACTGGCGCGGATTGAACTCGTGGAGAGTGAGTCGTAAAACTCCAAGTCAGTGCGTGTGCCACTAGGCCAGCTGGCTACAATAAGATTCATTCAACTAGGCATATTTATACACCATATAGAGGTTAGCTCAGGTCCCACTGTGACTTAAAATGCAAGTTTTTACAGATGAATGTTCAGTCAGCGTGGCCGTGATGAACTCTAGCTCTAGTCCCCTCAAATCCAACATCACGTTTGCAATCGTGTCATTAAGATTTCGTGAGTATGTATGCCATTATGTATTCCCGCTCGCCCACATAGCCGTTAGATTGTTTCTATGGCTTGGGGGTATGGTAAGAGGGGTATTTCAAACACCGTGGGAAAACAGCTTAGCGTCCACTTCACATAGTCTTGGAGCAGAACCCCTGGAGACCATACGCGTAGGCAGGCAGGCAGACTCCTTTAATAAAGCAGAGTTACCTCCAGACGAAGTATTAATTGCCACATATATTACCCAACGAATCCATCATCAAATCCCATCGACAAATGTGGTGTCAGCTACTCATCATGCCCCTGCTGTTCATTTGCACCGTTTGCCAAGCCTCTTGCTTTCATATGGAGTGATTTCAGTGTGCAGGTTCGGAGTCTATCCCTCTAGAATTTTCCAGGTATTGCCAACGTTCCAAGGAGAACAGCTAGAGGGACTTCAAGTTTTCCTAGTAATTCAAGTGCTTGACTGTTTGTTCTCTAACTCTGTAATTTAGAAGAAGGCTGTTTGTGTTCTGTAGTTTTTAAGCCTAGAAAGGACAAGTGACTTGTAGAGTATCTTTGACTGGCTTTGTATTTCTAGTTTTGAACGTTTCAGTTATCCAGTTTATAATTTTCATAGCAGCTGAGATAATATTTTTATGATTGAATTTTAATATTAGTTCCTCTCACATTAAACGTTCACTTTGAGTAATTCGCGTTTTTGTTGTACTCCGATCTACTCTTTATTTCTTCAACATTTTTCCATAATATAGTAACCTGAAGTTTGTCCTCATTCAACATTACATTGTTGACCAGTAGCCTACCAGAAGACTTGCTTTATGTTGAAGGTTCAATGTGTCCTCCCCACTGGATGAAACTTAAATGAAAATTCCGCAAACGATGATACGGTGTTATGATGAACGTCCCAGTATTTGCAGCGGATAATAAGAGAGAGAAGTGGGGCGAGTACTGTGCCTTGGCGAACAGAACTTTTCACTGTGGCAGCCCCCAATATCACTATTTGCTCTTACTATGTTGGTTAGGAAGTTAAATATTTATCTACCTACTTTTTTCTATTATGCCTTTTACAGGCATTTTCTCCATTATTACACCGTGTCAGAGGATTTTACAAGGTCAGTGAACACAACAACTCCATTTTGTTTATCTGTCAGGGTATCCAAGCTCATTCCATAATGATCCAGTCACTCCAAGAACCAGGTGTGACCTGCTCAGATTTCTGTTGTCCTGGTTTATACAATTGTTTTGGTTTCTTATGAGTGGAAATAATATTCTTTATCGCTATTTAATTTCTTCTTCCACACATATGCTAGTTCATTGATGATATTTAGAATGTTTCGACTTTGCAGAGACTTACAACATACATTGAAACATTTTGTCTCGACCAGTAATAGTAGTCGATCCTGCGTTATTCAACCTTCAATGGCACGACGCCAGGGTCTTCAACTTTTAGTGTATTGAAAATATATTTATATCACATTTTGCTCTGTAAGAAAAAGCTCTGAGATGAGTACTAAAATAAACGTTGTTTACAGCGCCTCAATCTGCTGATGAATGGCAATGTGCTGGAGATGAGCAGACTGTATAACGTGAAGAAAGTAGTGTCTTGCCTGTCTACCTGCATCTTCCCTGACAAAACTACATTCCCCCTTGATGAAACAATGGTAAGTTCAACACTTTTAGCGGGATTAATTTTATCCACTCTGGTTGTTTTATTTACAAAATGAAATGTACACACACACACACACATACACAGGGATATGCAGTGGGAGAATGAAAGGGTGAGGTCAGTCTTTGTGTATGGGCTCCAGGAAGTCGAAGGGGAAACATATGAAGCAAGAAAACAAGGGGAAAAAAAGCAATTGAAAGCATCATGAAAGCAATAGGAGAAGACGATATGACCCAGCTGGAAAATTTTCGGAGAATAGGGGGGTTTGTAAAAAAAAGAACCCGGCCAGTGAGAGTGACCTTCAAGGCAGAAGCGACTCGGACCAGGATACTGCAGGAGAAAGCACGATTAAGGGACATGACGGCATACAGGAGGGTGTATCTCGACCGCGACAGAACACAAGAAGAAAGGAAGAAACTGAGAGAGATGGTACAAAGGCGAAAGGAGGAAAAAGAGGGATGGAGAAGACAGACAGGAGATCCAGACCCAGGAAGAAGATCTAATACAGCCTCCTTCACAACTTTCTATAGAAGCCTCCAACCAGGTCAACCCCAGTGCAACCAAACACTCTAATCAAACACCCATGTCACATCCAATGCCCCCACCCACTACATTACAAACTTCACCCCCACAGCAACAACCCATAGTTCCTTACCAGGGCTCCCACTTCCCAACCCAATATACTTCCCAGACCACAGTCTTAGAAAAGAAGTTTGAAGGTGTGGTATACAAATGCAGATGGAATAACAAACAAGTATGAGGAGTGGCACGAAAGAATCAAAAAGACATCCCCAGACATAAAAGCACTCACAGAAACAAAAACTCACCAGAATAATAACAGATTCAATCTTTCCATCCGGATATCAAATCTTCAGGAAAGACAGAGGGAGGAGAGGGGGAGGAGGAGTTGCACTGCTCATTAGAAACCAGTGGGGTTTTGAGAAAATGGAAGGAATGGATGGCATGGGCGAAAGGGACTACTTAGTAGGAACAATCCAGTCTGAGGGACATAAGGTGATAATTGCAGTAATGTACAACCCACCACAGAACTGCAGGAGGCCAAGAGAAGAATACGATGAGAGCAACAGGCAATGATCAACCACACTAGCCGAGGTGGCCAGGAGAGCACACATGGGGGGAGCAAAGTTACTAGTTATGGGTGATTTCAATCACAAGGAGATTGACTGGGAAAACCTGGAGCCCCATGGGGGTCCCGAAACATGGAGAGCCAAGATGATGGATGTGGTACTGGAGAACCTCATGCATCAACATGTTAGAGACACTACCAGAGAGAGAGGAGAGGATGAACCAGCAAGGTTGGACCTTGTATTCACCATGAGTAGTTCGGACATCGAGGGTATCATGTATGAAAGGCCCCTGGGAGCTAGTGATCATGTGGTTCTGTGCTTCGACTACATAGTTGAGCTCCAAGTGGAGAGAGTAGCAGGAATAGGCTGGGAAAAACCAAACTACAAAAGGGGGAACTACTCAGGCATGAGGAACTTCCTTCAAGACATTCAGTGGGAGAGGGAACTGACAGGAAAACCAGTACAAGAAATGATGGACTATGTAGCAACAAAATGCAAGGAGGCAGAGGAGAGGTTCCCAAGGGAAACAGAAATAATGGGAAGAACAGAACGAGTCCTTGGTTCACCCAAACGTGTAGGGAGGCAAAAACTAGGTGTAATAGAGAATGGAAAAGGTACAGAAGACAGAGAACTCAGGAAAATAAAGAAATCAGCCGAAGAGCCAGAAACGAATATGCACAGATAAGAAGGGAGGCTCAGAGACAATATGAAAATGACATAGCATCAAAAGTAAAGACTGACCCGAAGCTGTTGTACAGCCACATCAGGAGGAAAACAACAGTCAAGGACCAGGTAATCAGACTGAGGAAGGGTGATGGGGAATTCACAAGAAACGACCGAGATGTATGTCAGGAGCTCAACACAAGATTTAAAGAGGTATTTACAGTGGAAACCAGTAGGACTCCAAGAAATCAGAACAGGGGGGCACACCAGCAAGTGCTGGATGAGGTACATATAACCAAGGAGGAGGTGAAGAAGCTGCTATGCGAACTTGACACCTCAAAGGCAGTGGGACCAGACAACATCTCTCCATGGGTCCTTAAAGAGGGAGCAGAGATATTGTGTGAGCCATTAACAAAGATCTTCAACACATCATTTGAAACTGGGCAACTCCCTGAGGTATGGAAAATGGCAAATGTAGTCCCAATTTTTTAAAAAGGGAGACAGACATGAGGCACTAAACTACAGACCTGTATCTCTAACGTGTATAGTATGCAAGGTCATGGAGAAGATCATCAGGAGGAGAGTGGTGGGGCACCTGGAAAGAAACAAGTGTATAATTGACAACCAGCACGGTTTCAGGGAAGGAAAATCCTGTGTCACAAACCTACTAGAGTTTTATGACAAGGTGACAGAAGTAAGACAAGAGAGAGAGGGGTGGATCGACTGCGTATTTTTGGACTGCAAGAAGGCTTTCGACACAGTTCCTCACAAGAGGTTACTGCAAAAGCTAGAGGACCAGGCACACATAACAGGAAAGGCACTGCAATGGATCAGAGAATATCTGACAGGGAGGAAACAACGAGTCATGGTACGCGACGAGGTGTCAGAGTGGGCGCCTGTGACAAGCGGGGTTCCACAGGGGTCAGTCCTAGGACCTGTGCTGTTTCTTGGTATACGTGAACGACATAACGGAAGGGATAGACTCAGAAGTGTCCTTGTTTGCAGACGATGTGAAGTTAATGAGAAGAATCGAATCGGACGAGGATCAGGCAGGACTACAAAGAGATCTGGACAGGCTACAAGCCTGGTCCAGCAACTGGCTCCTAGAATTTAACCCTGCCAAATGCAAAGTCATGAAGATTGGGGAAGGGCAAAGAAGACCGCAGACACAATATAGTTTTAGATGGCCAAAGACTGCAAACCTCACTAAAGGAAAAAGATCTGGGGGTGAGTATAACACCGAGCATATCTCCTGAGGCGCACATCAATCAGATAGCTGCTGCAGCATACGGGCGCCTGGCAAACCTACGGATAGCGTTTCCGATACCTCAGTAAGGATTCGTTTAAGACTCTGTACACCATCTACGTCAGGCCCATACTGGAGTATGCAGCACCAGTTTGGAATCCACACCTAGTCAAGCACGTCAAGAAATTAGAGAAAGTGCAAAGGTTTGCAACAAGACTAGTCCCAGAGCTACGGGGATTGTCCTATGAAGAAAGGTTGAGGGAAATCGGCCTGACGACACTGGAGGCCAGGAGGGTCAGGGGAGACATGATAACGACATATAAAATACTGCGCGGAATAGACGAGGTGGACAAAGACGGGATGTTCCAGAGATGGGACACAGACACAAGAGGTCACAATTGGAAGTTGAAGACTCAGATGAATCAAAGGGATGTTAGGAAGTATTTCTTCAGTCATAGAGTAGTCAGGCCATGGAATAGCCTAGAAAGTGATGTGGTGGAGGCAGGAACCATACATAGTTTTAAGGCGAGGTATGATAGAGCTCATGGGGCAGGGAGAGAGAGGACCTAGTAGCAATCAGCGAAGAGGCGGGGCCAGGAGCTGTGACTCGACCCCTGCAACCACAAATAGGTGAGTACAAATAGGTGAGTACATTCATACATACATACATATATATAATTAACAAACCTGCGGCTAGTCAGGATTCGATCCTGTGTCACAATGCAAAGCCCTGTGAGAGCAGGACAAAGTACGCATTCCTCTATTCACTTCAAAATTGATGGTCAAGTTGAGAAAGGGATGCGAACTTTGTCCTCGAAGGATCGAATCCTGGCTAGCCGCAGTAATGTTAATTATTCAAAATCACTTGTTTCGTGGGGTGTTAATGTTGCAGTTTAAAAACTGTAGCGTAAAGCACCCTTCTGGCAAGACAGTGATGGAGTGAATGATGGTGAAAGTTTTTCTTTTTCGGGCCACCCTGCCTTGGTGGGAATCGGCCAGTGTGATAATAAAAAAAAAAAAAAAAAAAAAAAAAAAAAAAAAAAAAAAAAAAAAAAAAAAAAAAAAAAAAAAAAAAAAAAATATATATATATATATATATATATATATATATATATATATATATATATATATATATATATGTTATTGTGCCCACGAAGTGCGACTAGCCAAGGACTCGAACCCATGCTGCTTTGGCCTGCCTCATGGTAAGCGAAAACTCATGACGCCTTTACCCACGGGACCAAATTAGTTTAATATGTTTATTATGCACCCCATACCCATCCTGTGGGCGGTAGTCAAAAGATTACAGAGGTACATAATTGGTCCAGGGACTGGGCCTCAAAGTTTTGATAGCTGAGCAAGTTACAGAGGCAATGAATTCACAATTTACAAAGGCAATGAACTCACAATTTACAAAGGTAATGAACTCCAGATAGGTCTAGTCACAATCATGACAAGTTACAAAGGTATTTACAGATTACAGAGGTACACAATGGGTCCAGGGACCGGGCTCCAAAGTTTTGATGGCTGAACTAGGTACAAGGTAATGAACTCACAAGTTACAAAGGTAATGAACTCACAAGTTACAAAGGTAATGAATACTGTAAGAATGGTTACTTACGTGTATACATGGCTGCAATCATGAACAAATTTTAGAGTAATGAGCAATTCACACTTCCACACCCGGTCACAACTGTAGTGAGTTATTGGTGCAAATGTTGATTGCTGAGTCTCTCTCTCTCACACACACACACATACAAATTCATACACACACACACATAAACACACACACACACACACACACACACACAACACACACACACACACACACCACACACACACACACAAACTCATACACACACACGCACACACACTCATACACACACACACACTCATACACACACACACACACACTCATACACACACACACATACACACACACACTCATACTCACACACACACACACACACTCACACACTCACACACATACACACATAC